TCGCAAACGTTCCGACGCAGGGCCTCTTTCGAGTGAATCTCCCTGTATATTGTAAATATGTTAGCCTAACTTTCTGTTTATCAGCCTAATCACGTATTATAAATATTGCTGCTGTCCAAAACATGATTTTTAGTTTTCTGCATAATTTGAGTTCAGCTGATGTCCTTTACATTGTGCTAAAACTTCATGATGATTGGACCAATAGAAATGCTCCAAAATCGCTTTGAATAAAATATATTTACATTAACTTACGTTGAAAGTAAAGAACGTTTTTATCCTCTCCTGTAAAGTTACCATTTTAGAGATATTTGTTTTTCTTTGGACAGTGACGATATATTAGTCAGCGTTTTGTCAGTATACAATTGTCTGTAAACTGGTGTAACTGTATTGTACATATCGCTGCTGTCGGAACAAAACCTTGTATCTCCAGTTTTGCCGTTTTTCAGTTTTTCACATAATTTGAACATGCCTGTTGTCCATTACACTGTGTGTAAATTTCATGAAGAATGGACCAAAAGAAATGACCCAAAATGACTTGGAAAAAACGTCTGGTTCCACTGACGTACATTGAAAGTAAAGTAGGTTTTTTCCTTCTCCTGTAAAGTTACCATTTTGGAGATACAGGGTTTTGTTCCGACAACAGCGATATACTATCCTAACTGCATAAGGTACATTTGTGTATTGTGTATGTATTAGCCTAACTATTAGCATACTGAACATATATATATGCCTATGCTAATAAAGCATACTGTCAGTATAAAACATTGGTATTATGTATATCGGCATAATTGTATACCGGTGGTCTCCAACCTGGAGAGCTACCTTCCTGTGGAGTTTAGTTCCTACCTGTATCCAACAAGCTGCCCCACACCTTACTTAAACCTAACATATCTGATCCAGCCAATCAGGGGCTTGGGAAGAGGCTAATTTACTGGAGCGGTTGTGGCAAATTGTGGCTGTAACTAAGCTCTGCAGGAAGGTAGATCTCAAGGACCATGGTTGGAGACCACTGTTGTATATTGTGCATATATACACAAACCTAATTGGATATGGTACATACATTAGCCTAATTGCATATTGTACATATATTAGACGAACTATGTAATTTCAGCCTCTGTCGAACGCATACAACAGAGCATTAATGCATGTAGCAGTCTTCCATTTCCGCACTGATTATCTGCTCTAATGACTTCACAGGAATGTATACTGAGTGCTCTGACCAACCTCAAATGATCCTAATGAACACACTTTGATTGATGTTCACAAAGTCTTTTGCATGAATAAAGTAATCGGCTATATTGAGCACAATCTTTGCAATTTTCATGAACTGGGTTTCTGAGAAATTTTACAAAGTAAATCATCTTCAATACAGTAGCCAAGGAAACTCAACAGCTTCGAAAAAGTAAATTATGACCATTTATCTTAAATCCCAGTACAGTACTGTCTTATGAGTTACATTTCTTTTAAAAATTTTGGCTTTAACACTGACGTGGAAACCACTCCTCAAGCCCATATCCTTCTCTAAACCATCAACTGAGAAACATACTGATCTGAAATGAGCTTATAACAGTAACGCATGCGCAGAAGTTGGAATGGCTGCTCAGTTCCCTTCACTTTAAAAGTTCTTAAAAGCATAAGGCCAAAATTTCAGAGCTGAACTTCTGAAGAGCTCCTCAACTCTTCTGGTTTCCAGTCTGATCTGAGTACAAACTCCTCTCTGTTAAAGAATGGACTCAGAAAGAGGACATATGGAGCAGAACCATTCCTCTCTTTTCAGTATCTCTGCTGGCCAAATGACGTCCGAATCATGTACTGATAATGAGCGCAGGACGCCCAGAGGTAAGAGAAGAAGAAACTAATGATTTCATTACCAAACACGCTCTCCCTCTTTGTAGATCTATCAAGCTGACCGTCATTCCTGTACTGGGCAACTGCTAATGGGCTGAGGCTCTAAAGCTGGGGGATCCTGCTGCTTTTCTCAGCTAGCAAAACACCACTTCAGAAACACCAAATGCACAAGACATCAGACAGACAATTAGCTCAAGCCAATCAAAGAATGAATAATTCGGCTTAACTTGTGTGAAAATGTTTCATCGTTAATTTCAGAGGTGGTATGATACCACTTCTTTCCCTATATCAATACTGATACTGAACCTTGAGTGCGTTTACATGCGCTCAATAATCCGATCATAATCGGATTTCTGCAGTTATCTGATTATTCAAATGGTCACGTAAACAGCACACTCTGTTTTCCGGATTTTAGCTCAGTAATCAGATTTCTCAGTGCCAGTAAACTCTTAATCTGATTTCTTTTGGATTTCTCAGTCTGCACATGCGTGAAACAGACGGCGGTACCCGGAAATAAGCGAGCAGTGTTGCCACGAGACGCAACAAAACACATTTGGAGCGACGCTGAAAAAAAAAGAAGAAGCTGGTTTTACGTTACATTTTCGTCACGTCTTCTTCTGTGAGTTTATTGGTCGGTTGCAAAGCAGAAATCCGATTACTGTCTGACTCATGTACATGTTTCCCCATTATCTGATTAATCAAAAGCATGTAAACGCATTGATTGGATTACTGACAAAATCTGATTTTCTGCAGTTATAGGATTATTAAGTGCATGTAAATGCACTGTTTGGGTCTGATCCAATATTTTTTTTAAACCTGCTAATGTATAAAGTTATATAATATTTATACAATATATAAGAATACTCGATATTCAAACTACCCCAACGCTCTACTGTCCTTCCTTCACTGTTATCATGTAACATTGTAACGTGGTTGTTTCAGTCTAACTCCCTTTACTTCGCAATTCTGTACTATTTAAGGCTAGATTTGACACAAATGGATCAGATTTATTCTTTTTTTCCCTCTTATATCAGATCCTGCCTATACTGTCCCAATACCAAAGCCCAGTATTGGATCAGTGCTAATTCTATTGGGTGACTGTTATCAGAGCAGCTACTGTAACAACCCCCAGTGATGCTAAAAACTCATTAAAAAAAAACCCGTCACTCATTTTGATAGTGCTTGATACTGCCAGGACGTTGCTTTTCAGTTTTACATTTTTACATTTCATAGATAATGATTATTATATTCATAATATAACTGCCATAAAATGGCAGCATTCCTGCTGCCAAGCCACTTGTTTGTGGTTAATTCTATGTTGTCCACTTTACTCACAATGCTAATGTAAATATCATCCGATACAGTGAAATATTTTGAAAAAATTGTGATACTGAATTATCAATACCGCCCACACAATATAGATTGGTAATTTTTCAACATTCAATTCAATTTTCTTTGTACAGCACTGAGAGGAACGAAAACACGAAAGGAGAACCCATTCACCACTGAGCTACACCAGGCAGCAGATTCAAGCACAAGTACAACTAAACCGAGTTACACAGTTCAGATCTGCGGGGTGTCCAGTGTTAAACATCTGTCAAAGACCTAGTCGAGGTTCAGTGTACTGTGGGTACTGTGGGTTTACAGCATCAAGAAAGTGGTTAGCAGTTCACGCTGACAACAAACTTTCACAACAACAATTGCTAGTGAAACCACTCGTGCTGACATCAACATCTGTGTACGGTCACTACATCCTTCAAGTGTCGGGTACAGGGGTATAAAACCCTGCAACGTTGGGCTGTGGAGCAGTGGAACTACATTCTGTGGAGTGATGGAGCTCCATCCAACACCTCTGGGATGAACTGGAGTGATCCAGAACTGATCATCCAACATCAGTACCTGGCCTCGGTGATCTTGTGGCTGAATGCAGTCACATCCTCACAGCAGTGTCCCCAACACCTAGTGTAAGGCGTTCCCAGGAGAGCAGATGCTGTTACAACCCAAACTTTTGGACATACGGTGCAGTATACAAGGCTAATGGTGGGCACACTACCATATGGACACCCCTCCTAATCATTGAGTTCCAGTGTTTCAGCCGCACCCATTGGTATAACATCAAGCACGTAGCCATGCAACCTCAGCAGACAAACACTGGAATGGGTCCAGCGGTGGTCCAGAGTTTAGTTCCAACCTGTACCCTGCCCCGTTCTTAACCCTAATACACCTGCCAATCAGGGACTTGGGAAGAGATTGATTAGGGGAACAGATGTGGCAAATTGGGGTTTAAGCAAGGCTCTGCGGGACGGCAGCTCTCCAGCACCAGGGCTGGAGACCACTGGTCTAGAGCCTGGCTTTTTGCTGTCATAATCAGTTGCAATAATAGCTGAACAGGTAAAAGATAACAAAGAATAACATAAATTTGACTAGATAAACAAAACAACCCATGTTTGCACCCATTCCTGATACTACACAAGTTTATGTTCCCCCTGATAGAGCACATCAAATTCAGCTCATCATCATCCAGCTGCGTTAAACAGAGCTGAGATAACACAAGAGCCTGAACGACTCATGTTATTCCCGTTCCACCTTAAATGATGCAGCATGTAACCAATGCACCATTTAAGGTGGAACGGGAAAATTCGAACAAGACGCTGGCGAATGAGAAGCCAACTTCAGCCTCGTAGAGTCTGAAGACAGTGTTAACCTAACTAGCTACGTTTACAAACGTAATTCAACATTTAAAACGCATTAAACTGACTATAAAGCTACGGCTCACTACTGAAACCACCATACCTAAGTTGCCACCCCAGTTGTAGCCATGTCAACGGCAGTGTTTTGACAGCTAAGCTAGCTTGTTGGCTAACACCGAAACGCAGTGTCCGTAGCCTACCGCGTTAACTGACGTTAGCCTAAAAGCATGCTAACGCTGCTCGCTAACTTTTCTAGCTTACTTTCTCCTGCTGTCGAGACGTTTTCTGAAATGTCCAGCCTTAGCTAGACACTCTGGCTACTATCACGCCAGTTCGCGTTTAGTTAACGGTACAATGACAGAAGCCGAGTCTTGAGGCAGGTTGTGTATCTCTAAGGCAGCTAGCTGGCTGTCCTAGCTGGCTCGCTACCTGCAGTTCCTCCCCACTGTTGACGTTACTCACTTCGGCTGCTGTGAAGATCTAACAGCTGGTGAGAAGCAGGAGGTCAGGCACTACTGATCAACGTGTGAAGCGATTTTCGGACTGGCTTCTGTAGAAATTAATCCGTCTTCACTTTCTCCGTTGAAAAAAAGGCAAACATGAAGTTCCGCGTAGCGCTACAGAAGCCATACGCTAACATCCCAGCGTAAGCGTCCAGAAGCCGAGAGCCTCCTCCTCCGCTGCTCCTCCCCTCAGAGCGGCCGGGTCTACGCGCAGGGTGAGCTGGAGGACAGGAGTCCTGGATGCCTGAAGTTCATGAAATAATTAGTAGAGGTGCATATAATATATGGCCAAAAGTGTCCAGACAGCCCTTCTGCTTGGTGAATTCAGATACTTTAAGTCTCAGGCACACAGAGACCACCTGGTTAAGACATTCTGTTCATGGCTACTTCTGATCATTCAAGCAATCAACACTCTGAAACCAGTTGTGCTCCATCCTGGTCCTGGAGAGCTACTAATAAGGACATTTCAGATCCAACACTTTTTTTTCAGGGGCTGTTTAGTAAAGGGAATGTGTATATATATATATGTATATATACAGATCAGGTATAACATTTTGACCACATCCTTGTTTCTATGCTCATTGCCCATTTTATCAGCTCCACTTACTATATAGGTGCACTTTGTAGTTCTACAGTTACAGACTGTAGTCCTTCTGTTTATCTGCATACTTTGTTAGCCCCCCTTTACCCTGTTCTTCAGTGGTCAGCACCCCCATGGACCCTCGCAAAGCAGGGACTATTTGGGTGGTGGATCATTCTCAGCACTGCAGTAACACTGACGTGGTGGTGGTGTGTTAGTGTGTGTTGCGCTGGTCTGAGTGGATCAGACACAGCAGTGCTGCTGGAGTTTTTAAACACTGTGTTCACTCACTGTCCACTCTATTAGACACTCCTACCTTGTCAGTCCACCTTGTAGATGTAAAGTCAGAGACGATAGCTCATCTGCTGCTGCACAGTTTGTGTTGGTCATCCTCTAGTCCTTCATCAGTGGTCACAGGACGCTGTTGGCTGGATATTTTTGGTTGGTGGACTATTCTCAGTCCAGCAGTGACACTGAGGTGTTTAAAAACTCCACCAGCACTGCTGTGTCTGATCCACTCAGACCAGCGCAACACACACTAACAAACCACCACCACGTCAGTGTTACTGCAGTGCTGAGAATGATCCACCACCCAAATAGTACCTGCTCTGTGAGGGACCATGGGGGTCCTGACCACTGAAGAACACGGTAAAAGGGGGCTAACAAAGTATGCAGAGAAACAGATGGACTACAGTCTGTAACTGTCAGTGTACATACATATATATATATGTGTGTGTATATATATATATATGTGTATATATATATATGTGTGTGTGTGTATATATATATATATATACATATATATTTATGTCATATATATATATATTTATATATATATATATTTATGTCAAGTTTGTTGCACTTATTGGTGCTATATAGAACCCTTTTCAAAAAGGTTGTATGTAGAACCATATACAACACATTCTCTATCAGTCTGAAGAACCTTTTCACCATGCACAGAACCATTTAAGCCTTTACTAAAGGACCCTTGAAGAGCCATCTTTTTTGAGTGTGTAGATTTGCATTGAGGCTAAACTCTGGGTGGGATGTCTCCAGAACAGGGCACCTGTGCTCTAAACTAAGGGTCACCAATCTTATCTACCATCCTATTGCCAGTTGAATGAGTCATACTGAAGAGCTCAGTGACTTTAAATGTCATGGGATGCCACCTTTGATGCAAATCTATGAAAATTCTGCCCTGCTAGATCTACCCTAGCCAAATGTAAGTGCTATTAATGTGAAATGAAAGCGTCTAGGAGCAACAACAGTTCAGCCATGAAGTAATAGACTATGCAGACTCACAGAGCAGAGCCACTGGGTACTGAAGCATGTAAGAACTGCCTATTCTCTGTTGTCACTTGCTGCAGAATTCCAAACTGCCTCTGTAAGCAACTTCAGCATAAGAACTAGAGCTTCATGACATGGGTATCCATGGCTGAGCAGCTGCACACAAGCCTAAGATTACTATGCACAATGCCAGGCGTCGAATGGGGTGATGTAAAGCATCAAAAGTAAGTCTGATGGATGGATGCCAGGAGAAAGTTACCTATCAGACAGCATAGTGCCAGCACTAAAGTTTAGTGGAGGAGGAATAATAGTCTGGGGCTGTTTTTCAGGGTTTGGGTGCCTTGCTTTGAAGGGTGATGTTAATGCAACAGCATATAAAGATGTTTTAGACAATTATATGCTTCCAGCGTTGTGTAAGCATTAGATGGCCAATGCTGTCATGGGTGCAATGGCATTTTACTACAGCTAAACCCCTCAGCATTTTCCCTTAGCTAAGAGAAACGTCTGAGGGATTTTATGCAACACCCTTGACTACTTCGCTTTGGTAAGGAAAACCTTCCTATAAGGTTCATGCATACAGGAAAAACTCAGTTTTATACGACCAGGCTAAGGCCTTCGCGTCCAACATCAATGCCTGACCTCTCAAATGCTCCAAATCCTGACACACTCCAAATCTTGTGGAAAGCCTTCCCAGAAGACTGGAGGCTGTTATAGACCCAAAAGGGGTTGGGGGGGCAACTCCTTATTAATGCCAGTGGTTTTGGATGGGATGTCCAACAAGCTCATATAGATGTGATGGCCAGATGTCCACATACTTTTGGGCATATAGTTCTTTATTTGACCTTGTGTGGTGTTGATGTTGTTTTTACTCAGTGGTCTGGTGGATCCACCGCATTGTTGTTCTTTTAAATCAATACAGCCATAACAATTTATGTAAAAATACCAGATTTAAAATATCACAAGTGGCCAGTGTAGGGTTCTCCTTTAGCAGCTGTAGCCAGTCAGCAGCCTGTCCATGTTGTCCACCCTCACACACACACACACACACACACACACACACACACACTAACAGCAGGCCATGTAGGAGGAGAGCAGAGTGAAGGACACAGCACCTCCACACTTTTACTCCCCGCAGGTTCACCCAACTCCACATGTGTAATATAAATGTGTGGGGGGTGAACAGAGTGAAGACACTGAAAATGTGTTATATGTTCTTCATAGAAAATGATCAAAGACCAAGAATCTGAGGTTGAAATAATAATAAATCGCATATATTTTTTCTTTTGGTAAACAATGAAAATGGGCCCCGAACACCACACAAGGGCTAACATAGGGCTGAAACTATAAAATATTTTCATTGTCCAAAGTTCTGCTGATATCATCTCTAATATTCAGATGTTCTGTAGGGATGATAGCAAAAAGGAAGCATGTTTCATTAAAAGTGAATTATTTAACAGTAGAATATAAACCATATGAAAGGCTCTTTTGTGGGGAAGTGACCCCATTACGTAATCTTTATATAACTGATAGCACAGTGTGCTCTCTCCCTCATTCTTTGTCTTTCTCACTAATTGATCAAACACCCACTTTAAATCCACAAGAAACGCCTCCCTTCATCTGATGCCACTTACATGACCCAGTCCAGTATGTACATGACTCCCCACTGCTGTATTTCTTGGGTCATCAGTGAGTGTGTTCCTTTTGGTTGTGTGACTTAATTCAATTTGAGACACATTTGGCAGCCGTTTCCACAGTTTTGGACATCACGTTGTCATCACGCCGTTGCACAAACCACACAACTCAGAACCATCTATGCACTTGCGTAACTTTGTCAAAAGTGAAGAGGAGCAGAAAATAAGCCCTTCTCTTTGAGCTATTTTCCCCTGGCGGGCCTGTAAACCACTCTCTCTCTGCCTCACACACCCACTCTGACCCCTTTTGTTGAGATGTAATTTGTGTGGTTGTGTTATCTCAGTAAAATAGACCGTCTTTGGCAAATTTCCTTGCAGATCAGCCAAGTGTAAAACAGGATCTGAGCAGGCCTGGGTGAACCGGAACACGACTCGCTGTCCTGTCCCTCTGAACAGTATCCTTTGAACCCTCTCAGAAGCTAAAGGAGCCACAGGAGATGAATAGCAGCCTATAACTTTGGTTCTAAGTAGTAAGTAGCTACGCTTGTTGCAGAGACACGTACTTGTTCTGAGTACCTGTCTGAAGAGGAAGCACCAGGTGGGTGTTTTACAAAGCAAGATTGTTCAGTTAGCCAGGTTTGACAACTTTTTGACAACAACAAGCAAATCCTGCTTTGTGAACTTCGGCCAGATGACCCCTAGGAGGGAAAACTGCATACAATCAGTTGCTTTCCTCTATATCAGGGGTACGCACATTTTTTGTCCTGGGTGACCAAAGTGCAACAAAAATCAAACCACCTTGGGAGCCACAACATTTTATGTCCATTTTACCATCTTGGCTGTAAATATGTCTCAGTATGTGCTGATGTCCTAGTATAGGATAAAAAATATAATATAAACAAAAAACACAGACTTACTTTGCTCTGCTTTAAGCTTTAGCTCTGCTATAGCTGCTTTTCTCACATCTCTGGCAGGAAACTTTTCCCCAATAGTAGAATACACACACACACACAAACACACACATCTTCTAAGCTGCTTATTCCTCTGGGTCATGGGTGGAGCTGGAGCCTATCCCAGCAGCCATTAGGTGGAAGGCAGGATACACCTTGGACAGGTCTCAATAGTAGAACAGTTTCTTATAAAATATCTCTCAACATTTGACTTTTTACGAGGCTGAAGTCAGATTCTCATTCACCAGCTTCTTGTTCAAATTTTTCCGTTCTACCTTAAATGGTGCCGGAATGTAACTGCTGCACTATTTAAGGTGGAACTGGAAAATTCGAATGAGAAACTGACTTCAGCTTTGTGACTTTTTAATGTTTGACAGTTTGTTGTTGCAGATTAAATGTTTTAGGAAACCAGCTGAGTGCTTATAAATGTAAATAAGTCCATTCATCTCCAAATTATTGATGTTTGTCTTAAATCTCTCTCTTTGCCGTTTTGTTAGCTGCTAGCTAGGTGAGACTGCCTGCGTTGCTATGGTGACCAGCAGTCTGTGCACCTTCAGGGTTAAAGGGTGAATTAGCAGTTCTACCTTAACTCCAGCGTTCAAGATCATTAATTGTTAAACTGTGTTGAACGATCAGCAGAGCTTTATTTTACTGTAAAGGAGGATTATTTTGTTTTTACCTACAAATCTAATTCTGCTGTGGAGCCGCAGCAGGGCAGTAAAAGAGCCGCATGTTGCCGACCGCTGGC